AGAGAGAGAGAGAGAGAGAGAGAGAGAGAGAGGGGGGGGGAGAGAGAGAAAGAGAGAGAGAAAGAGCAACGGCAAAAAGCGTGTATATTCTCGACTCTACGCGAGATTAACTCGCTTGCGCCTCTCTCGCCTGTTACACGGGACGAGCTTCTCGCATGTGTTCGAGCCGTGCTTCTCTTGCGTATCAGGAGCTGTCAGACTCAAGAAAAAAAAGAAAAAGAAGGCAGATAGTGGGAAATGGGGAAAAGTATCGATGCGAAAGAGTAGCACGAATGATCGAAATTGTTGTAATATCAGCGAGGTAATATCAGATCTCAAGGGGTTCGAACGCGGAAAAGAATCCTTATCTTTCCTCTCTCGACGAAAGGATTACCTTTTCTTCCTTGGTAAAAAAAAAACTTTTCTCCACACACGGCCGAACCCCGCCGAAATTACGTCAGTTTCAATCGACGGGTGTAGGTGAGTGGAAAAAGTCATGTCCAGTCGGGCATGATCGTGTACGAGTGTAGATATATGCGACGGACGGAAAGGTGGAGAGAGCGGGTTTGAATGAGGAAGAGGACAAAGGGGTAGCGATATGAGGACAACGGAGAAGAAAGGAGAAAGGAGAAAAGAGAGAGAGAGAGAGAGATAGATATAGAGAAAGAGAGAGGGGTGGAGAAAGAGCGCTGTGAGGGATCGCGTAAACCCAACGAATCGAGTGAAAGAGCGTGTGTTAATAAGCGTTATCGATCGCCCGATCGTCTCAGATTGCTTGTCATGCCGCTTCCGAATTAATTATCGAATAATCGGCCGCGTTATTAAGCTAAAACAGGCTTTCGTCGTTTTTCCTTCCCTACAGTCCGTCTCGCTAAATATTCAAGATCGTGCGCTTATGCGTCCAACTCCGATTAGTGCTCGCGACAGCGTGCGCTCGCTGTCGCCGGCCGCTCGACACCGACTCACACAAACAAGTACGTAGATTTCGGAGACGGCTGTAATCATGCAACGATTAAGGCCAAATTACGTACAGGTTGGAGGAGCGAGGGGGATACCCGGGATGGGGGTTCGTCCGAGCGTGCGCGATCATTTACATTTGATCACGATTGTTCGCGATTTGCGATCGGAGAACATGGTTGTAGCACGGCATAATTTTCGAAACAGAACCATTTCTAAACTGATATTTTTATTTATCTCTTCGCCAAGCATGGTGGCTTTCTTTTATAAATGTAATTACGTGAGGATTGTGAGGATCCTCGTCGCGATAATTTTTTTTTTTAACAGAGAGATATCTGCGTAATTGTCCAATTAGGCTGTCAATTCGTTCGTTCATGTATAATTTTGCAATTGTACAGAGCCGATTTGTTAATGCGCTTCGACGTAGACATTACTGAATTTTATTACGTAACAGTTACTTTGCGATTTAATTTTACAGGTTTACCAAAGATTCCTATTACGGATCAAAGTGAAACAATCACGCGAGCTTGCGAGTGGGAAACAACATTCTTCGGGAATCGACATAAACTGTTACTAATCCTGTAGTATATGTGTATATGCTGATCAGCACGAGTTCAAGATTCGGCATGCAAAGGCGTCTACGTCTATTGAGACGAGAACTCAGAATACTAATTCATGTATGACGATAGATCAGATATATAGCAAGTCCATAGATGCGTTTTTACTTAAATTATTACGAATTGAGCACAATACTGATATGTTAATGATATAATCTCAGTTAACTCGCCAAAAGCCATTCATTTTTCTCGTTTTTTTGTATATAATTTTTATGAAGCAAAAAACATCGTGTGATGCAAAAGTTTCAATAACTCATCAATTAATCATCTAGTTGCCTTTCATAATTGTAATATGCATATACGCACGCGTAATCAATTATCAGGATTTTCACTATTGAAACTGACATGTTGCACGATTATCAGTCCGAAAATAATCTCATTTTCCAACAAACCGTGCTCTAGAAAAATTAAAGCACCGAGTGTTGTGAGCAAGCGGTTTCTTCTCGTTCATTTCTCTCTTTGCAACAAACCTCGTGCTCAAACTAAAAAAACCGTGTTTGTGGGTTTGTATGTGTGTGTGTATGTGTGTGTGCGTTTGTGAGTACGTAATTTTAACTTACGAAAGAATTTTGGGAATTCGGCGTGTAGGAATAGTCGTAACTATTTGGCCCCATATTAGCGTACCGATTCCGAAGAACAGGCACCACAACCACTGGTCTAACGTGAGCGCTCTGGTGCTGAATGCCATTTTACCGTATTGTATGATGACCACCTAAGCACAATAAACGGGCGATTTTTCATTCAAGATACACAAAGTCAACGCTGTGCAAAATCATTGTTGGAAAACTAGCTGGCCCTAGTTGTCTTGCGATTTCTCAATGAACAATATAAATTGATTGTTACGCGGGTATATTTATACCAGAGAAGATTTATCGACGGATATCTATTGTACATTATTGCCTTTATGTCGCAAGGAGCAAGAACGTTTGATAACTCACTTGCGAGAAACACGTGCCGATCCAAATCGAATAGAAGATGGGGTTGGTGAATATTCCCTGGAAGACATTGCGTTGACCATGAATTTTCCTGGCGTTGAATTCGTTGAAGATAGTCATCATGACAAACGTGTTGAAGATGACGGTGAAGTGTTGCGTGGGCCCACCGCCTGCCGCAGCCACTCCGCGGCCTGTGTCGATGTCGAGCATCAGATCACCTATGGCAGCCGTTCGTAAAAGCTTTAGAAAGTTTCGAGGAAGAACATCGAACGCGACGAACGTTCGACGAGGCGGATCGACAAGGTCGAGAGGTCGAGAGGCGGGAAGGGGAGAAGGGACGGTACTCACCGGCGAAAAGAAGCGAGAAAATTACGCCCAACTGATAAAAGGCCTGACCGAGAATATTTTTCATCATTGTCCTGGAAATGAGTGGTTTTGTGCGACCGTACGGTCTACGGAGGAGTAGATCAGGCGTAGGCAATTCGGTGGCCAAGGCGAGGGACGCTAACGTGTCCATGATTAGGTTTACCCACAACATCTGCACCGCCTTGAGCGGCGAGTCCTGCACGGCACAAGCACCGATGAAGGCGACGATCACGGCGACCACGTTGACGGTCAGCTGAAACTGCAGAAACTTGGCGATGCTGTCGTAGACGTTTCTGCCCCACATGACCGCCTTCACGATCGACGAGAAATTATCGTCTGTCAGGATGATGTCGGACGCCTCCTTGGCGACGTCTGTGCCGGCGATACCCATGGCAAAACCGACGTCGGCCTTCTTCAAGGCCGGACCGTCGTTTGTGCCGTCGCCGGTTACCGCCACGACCTCGCGACTTTCGGTTGACTTGCTGTCGATGATGCCCTTCACCAAGGTGTACTTGTCGGTGGGCGACGATCTGGCCAGTACTCGCAGCTTTGGCCACACTTTGTCCAGCAAATGTTGCTGCACCTCGCCGTTGCTGTCTCTGATCCTGCGGTTGAACTCCTTGCCCTCCAGAATGAGGAAGTCTTCGTTCGGCTTCAGGATACCACACTTGAGCGCGATGGACCGCGCGGTGTTTATATTGTCACCCGTAACCATGCGCACAGTGATGCCGGCCTTTTGGCATTTTCTGATCGCGTCCGGTACCTCGGGACGTACCGGATCCTCGATACCGACGATGCACAGGCAGGTGAGGTTGTTCACTAGATTATCCTCGTCGTCCCAGTTGGGCTCGTTGTCGATGTGAACTTGATTGATCTCCGCCTTGCCAGGAACAAAATCGCGATAAGCGATGGAGATGGTGCGCAGCCCGTTACATGCCATGGGTTCGATCACGTTCTTCACTAGACGCTCTTGCATATCTCTGGTAAACGTCTCCAGATGACCCTCGCGACCATATATAAAGGCACATCTGCAATAAGATCAATCGAATTGCTCAATTCTTCTTTCATCTCAAAGAAAACTGAACTGATGTGAATCTCACACAGGACAGAACACTAGGGCCCAACGGATTGTTTTCCTTTGAAAAAAAAAGCGGTAAAGTTTTCATACATGTAACAGTATTGTTGAATCGAACCGAGAAATGAGTGAGATTGCAGACTATAGTGAACTGCAATGCGACGTAAAAATTAACTGTAAAAATAAAAATGAAATAATACGTACTTCTTCATGATGATCTCGGAAGCGCCCTTGGTGAAGAGCCTGAATCCACCACCCTTTCTGGGGATAACGGTGGACATGCTCTTTCTTACGCTATTAAACGTATACACCCGCGTAAAGGTTTCCTCAGGATAGTCGTCCCGCACGGTTTGATATTTCTTGCCCAGGGCTAGTACGAATCCAAGTAAGGCACATTCGGTTTTGTTGCCAACCTGCATCGGCAATTCAGTAGGGTCCTGCGACTCCATTACCCGCGACGTGTACGCCGAATTGATGGAGATGGCTTGTAAGATCAGCTCGCCGATGTGGCTCGGTATGTCCGAGAAATTCGGCGTTGTCTTGCACATCTTCTCGCATATGTACGACTGTACCACGGTCATGCGGTTCGTGGTCAGGGTGCCGGTCTTGTCCGAGCAAATGGCGGTGGCGTTACCCATCGTCTCGCAGGCGTCCAAGTGACGCACCAGATTGTTGTCCTTCATCATTTTCTGCACAGAGAAACGCACGGTCTCAAACAAGGAGGAAAGAACGGGCCTGTCTTCGACAAGTCATCACGGACGGCCAGCCTCACCTTGACAGAATAAGCGAGCGACAAGGTGACGGCTAGAGGAAGACCCTCGGGCACGGCGACTACGAGCACCGTGACACCGATGATCAGATGCCGCACCAGATCACCGGCGTACGTGTTTCGCCACGGCTTGCCCTCCATGACGAAGGTTGTCACGCAGAACTGTATGACTAGAATGACGACAGTGAGCACCGCGATGGTCGAGCCGGCGTAACCGATCTGTATGGCGAGTTTAGTTAGCTTGGCTTGCAGAACACTTTTCTCTTTCTTCCCGCTCTCCCCGGCGCTCGCGGGTGGGGCCGCGTGATGATTCTCGCCGCCCTCGTGCTTGACGCCGCCGCCGCCACCGCCACCGCCACCTCCACCACCGCCGCCGCCGCCGCCGCCGCCTCCACCGCCTCCCGTCACGTGACTGTTCCCGGTAATCTCTACCGACTCCTCTCCTTGATTTACAACGCCAAGATTAGACCGTGCTCCATCGTTATATGCCAATCGAGGCTCAATCGACTCGAGCGATCAATCTTTACTCGCATCTCGGTAAAGGCTCTGATCATGCTTGGCTGCTAATCGATCGCGACGCCGACTGAGCCTCGATCGTTAAACTTAGAACGAGTATATACCAAGTTGTTAAAAGCATTCTAATAAAATAGTGGATGCTATTCGAGTTAATGGACAGAAGTTTAATGAGAGAGATGATCAAGATTATAAATGGTAGACACAGCAGTTACATGTTAAAGACACAGATTTAAAACCACGGGTGTTTAATATCATTACTAAAATGCAGAAAACGAGAAGCTAATGCAAGAACGAGGGTAGCCGCTAACGTGTCAAATGCATATAAACCACTGCCAATAGAACACGCAAAGATCAGTAGGGAACACGGAAGCGTGGACAATATAATTTCGTTTTTCTTTTCTCTTACACTCGGTCCTGGATATAGCGTTTAGTAGCGGGCGATATATCGAGGTCACGTCCCTTAAATAAAACGCACAGCGCTCTGCCTCACCATTTTCATAATTTTCATTTAATATTATTGCTTCAAGTAATTGTGCGCCGTATATACCAGGTCCGAGTACACCCTTAATAAACCGTGCTCAACGAAGATAGGGAAAACTGACTTCAACCGAATAGCCCTTTATGCGCGACATTAGCGTAAGGCTGCAGATATAATTAATCGAATTAACAAAGGAAAATATACCCGAATGATATACAGAGAAATGAAGAAGATGAAGTGAGAGATAAAGATAAAAAAAAAGACTGAATGCTTCGATCCATTTCTTGGCATTAATACTAAACGTATATGTGTATATATGTACACATAATCATATCGAGGTAAAAACAATAAGAATATATATATTTATATATATATAGATATGTATTATTTAGAATTATTCACCTGGTAATGACTTCTTCTTCCGCTGCTTTTTAGCCTCTAGATAAAAAAATACATGCAAAACGAAATTGATTAGCAATCTATCTGAAAATATATATGCCAATGGTAGTAAGTCGCGTCATTAAAAGAACTGACGTTTCGTAATTTACAATTCTTTCCTTCCTTTTCTCGTTAATTCTCGCAAGAGGGTACTTAACACTAACAAATGAGGTAGATACAGCCCAGAAGGTCAAACATAAAGTACCAGAAACGGCCGTTGCTTCTATGATAGACGGACAAATTCTCACTAATGTAACTGTAAGAGTGCATAAGAATGCATTCCTGGGTCATACGTACATGCACGCACGCACGCACGCATCTACGCACGCACGTACATGTCGGGAAAATACAAATTCACCTTCCAGGTTGTGCAATAACGAAAGACATACAGAGGAGCATGGATCGTCAAAGAAAGGTATTATGCCTTTGATATGCTATTTCCATATATATGTATATATATAATGTCCCAAAAATAACGTACTTTTCTTTACTTACAAATTAGATTAAATAGCAGCAAGTTATCAAAAGTAGAAAGATTCCATGAAACAGTATTTCCTCTTCTTCTTTTAATAGAAATAAAATCTTGAAACTTTGGAGAGTATGTTAGCAAAATAAAAAATTTAGGGCCTCGACTCGAAAAGTACGTGACTTCTAAGACAGTTTCTATAAAAGTGACTTAAGAAGATTATAGAATAATAACAGTTTAATTAATTTTGCAATTATCGAATGTAAGACTTCATATACACATATCAGACAAAGATAAGAAAACATTATGTAGCAAAAACATTATACAGCAGAAACATTTTAGCTGTGTAGAGTGGGACAAGAACACAAATGACTTACGAAAGTAAGAGACATAATCAAATAATGGCACCTTGAAAAAATTCTACCGTTAAGTGCTACTCTTCGTAATGGCAAAACTATGTAACTGACACTTTAATAAAGACGAGTTAGCAAAAGTGACTGTAATTTGCAAGTATTGCTCCGATATTTGCCTGCAGTGTCTGTAATACTTTTAATATATATAACTGAACCGGGGAAAGAGCTTTGTTAATGGAGGAATTGTCACGAAATAATACTGCTGCTTCTCTGCACTTTTGCGAGAATATTTGGTACTTTTTGAACGTAGAAAGTGTTTGCTCTTGAAACACGTTAACAGGTAAAAACGCAGGTTTTCGATAGCCAATTAGTTAATGAGTTAATAAAAGTATGGAAATCCATCTGTAGGTGCTGCAAATGCAATGTCGAGGGTAAAAAAAGACCAGGGGGGTAAAAGAAATTTGTAAAATCCGTAATAAAAAAAAGGATCACACCAATTCACGTCAAAACCATGCGTCCACTGCGATTCGTCTACACTCATTTTGAAACATTTCGTAAATATCATGCGAGGATATAGTAGAATACCAACAACTTCTATTAGACGCAAATCGTCATAAATTCTACTCGCTACTCGTACTATGAACGCGTCGTGACACATTCATTTATTGACTTTTCAATAGACTTTTCAATAGAGTTTACTGAATGATTCAGAAGTTGCTAGTAGAGAGACAGGTGTACTAAATCATCAGAGTGGAAAGAATATGGGAATATCGATTTCAAAATTAATCCAACCAAACCTAAGAGAGCTTCAAGAAACACGCACTATATATAAATATAAGAAATTACATTACTCCAAGAATTTAGTAACATCTGTATAAACGTGTGTAGTCATTCAAAGTTATCGGTCGATCGGGAATAACGGTTGCACGTACCTTTCTTCATTTTCTTGATTTCTTGCTCCTGTTGATCAACAGCAGCGCCCAGTAAGGTAAAGATAATACCCGCCTGGGAGTTAACACCTACTGCAGAAACTAACATTTTTCCGGAACCCTCCATCACGTGCGTACCTTTTCAACAATGCAATATACACAAGATAGTTTTCCATCCCGTGAAAGATCTCTCCAACACTTGGAAACTGTTTCTTTGCGCGAGGATATAATTCAGCCAAGGCTCTCTCACCTGAAAGTACCATAGGATCGAACGATTCCCCTTTCTTTACATGATCTGACTCTCCAGTCAGACTGGATTCATCCACTTTGAGATCGTTGCTTTGTATAAGAATACCGTCTGCAGGCAACAGGTCTCCATATTTTATCTGTATCGTCAAACAGCTAATTTAATGTAAATTTTGCTTTCCTCTAACTATATTAATATGTGCAAAGTTAATTCGACATTAACAGGTCAATACATATTAAAGAACCTAGAGAAGAAAAGGCTTGATTAATATTGCCGCACGTACCTGACAAATGTCACCTACAACAATGTCAGACACGGAGACTTGTTTCACTTCTCCTTGCCGTATCACCGAGAACTTGTGTTCTCCCTCTATCCGACTTTGAAGACCTCTAAACTGCCTCTCCTTGGAATAGTCATTAAACGCCGTCACTAAGACCACCACAATTACAGAAATCAATATAGCGAGTCCTTCAATCCAACCGTATTTTGCTTCGTCCTCATCTACTCCTGCTGAAGCCGCTAAATGGAAAGAACATGTTCTAAAAACCACTTCGGAGTCTCTTCCTAAGTTTAAAGTCGACAACATTTCTCTCCACACTTATATCAATACGTAACGTACATGTACAATATTTTAATATAAAACTATACGTAGGATTTCCTTACTACGCTAAGTGGAAACCACTCGTAGATAAAGTATGCGATATCACATCACACTTACGTTTTTCCTCATCATCAGCAGGTTGATAAAAGCTAAGACCTAATGAAACCAATGCTGCTACTTCTAAGATGATTAACGTGACATCTTGCAATGCTTCCCATACTAACTGTAAAAATGTTTTTGGTGGTTTTGGAGGTATCATATTGGAACCAAATGTATCTCGCCTATGTTGTATGTCTGCTGCTGACCCACTAAGACCTGCGCAGATGACAAAAGTCATGATAATGCATCCTCTATACACACATCTACAGCATAATTCTTGCCCTACGATTCTAAGTCTTCGGAGACTAGGAGAAAGGCTCGTAGTGCCTGTAAACTACCCATCGAGTTCTATGAACGTCGTGTCGCAGCGAGAGACACAGCGGATGAGCCTACCTTCATTGGGTGAAGTATACAGCTTTTTACAAATCTCCTGCACACCACCGTAGCCATTGATTTTGCTGACACCCTCGCGACCCCGGAGCTCCATGAGCTCGCGGAGTTGCTTAAGCGTGACACCATATTGGGCCGGCCGGCCGTCTATCGTCGCCATGATATCCCTGTCGCCTTCGTTGGCCGAAGCCAACTACTGTTACGCTTCCGCAAGGCTACCACAGCTCGTATTATTCTCTGGCGTCGCTGCTCCACTGGCCTCCAAGTGAATGGAGGGCCAACGGCTGAAACACAGCAAGAGGCTTTCGTCAATGGTGACGTTTGCGAGGTGTAACGGGCGCTAAACGGATGTAAACACATGTTCCACGTTACGTTCGTACACATGTCAGGTTTGGTTCCATTTGTAACTTAAATTTATCGGACACACACACGGACTACGGACTATGCCGACGCATCTCAGCAAGAGAGAGAGAGAGAGGGGGGGGGGGGGAAGGATTTAAACAGTTGAATCTACCGTCACGAGGTGTGCAGCGCGCATCGTTGCACGACGGCCGTGCGTGCACGGCACACGGGCAGCTCTCTCTCTCGTCGATCAGCAGTGCTCCGGGAATCGAAGCGCGGACGGCAATCGATACGCGGCGGCCGCGCGAGTCGGGAAACCTGAACGAACGCCCGGCGATGACGATGACGATGACGGCGACGAGGACGAGGGCACGGCGACGTTCTCGTCGCTTATGCAACGCGATTATTGATTCCGGGGGTGTGCAGCGACGTCGAAAGGAGCAACATCGCTGCCGCCGTGCTGGTACCTACGTGCACACACAGGCACATGTACGCGCGCTCACACACACATACACGCACACACGCACACGTACACGCACACGCCACGTCGACCCTACCGCGGCGCTTCGCGCTAAATGTCAAACTCCTTTAACCCGGCGGCAGGCCGGAGCAGACGCGCGCGCGGCCCCGCGTCGCGTCACGGAGAATCGGCGAGATCGGAGCGCGAGATCACGAGGCGCACACTGCGACGCGCGCGCGCGCGGGCGCGCGCGCCCTCGCGCGCGTTAATCCCCGAGGTCGGTTAACCCTCTCCCCCGAGTTAAAGAGCCGAGTGCACTCGCCCCGTCCTCTCCGTCAGGTGGAGCGGAATTCTCCCCCTCGAGCTGGAGGCGCCGCGCACCGAGATTGAGGTTATGCGCGCCTCCGGCGGCAGACGAGCGCCCGTCTGCGCGGGGCAGGCGGGCGGCGAGCGGCGAAGCGACGTGAAGGCTGGCGCGGATCGCCCGCGGAGTCTTCGGAGGCGAGACCCGGGGTGAGGACGAGTGCCGCGGACGCGCGGCCGCCGGCGGAACGGAAAATACCGCTAACGGGACGGACTGTCACTCTTGCTCGCTCGATAGGAATACAAACACGGTGCTCTAAAAATAACGGCGCGCGTCGGACAGAGAGGGAGCGGGCGATAGAGCGAGAAGGGGGGGGGGGGAAGGGTGAGGCGCGCGCGCGTTTACCTCCCGATGGTTCCCTCTTCGTATTCCGAGGAAATCGACGTGCGAGCAGCGATCGGGCGACCAACCCGTTTTCAAGGCCCCGTCACAATTTCATGATTTCCCGTGAGTGACGTATCGCGAGGAGAGGCTTTATCGCTGCGCGGGCGGGCGGTACATCCAGCAACGTGCGAAGCTAAACTCCCCGAGATCGCCGCCAGAGAGGCGAGCGTTAAGTGAAATTAGCCATTAGCGAAGTAATAATCTAGTATTAATCGATTCGTGTTGCCCTCTAGTAGATCGCGAGCGCAACTCCTCTCACTCTCTCTCTCTCTAGTTTTTTCCCTCCCCTCTTTGTCTAGGATCCGCTGTTTTATCTCGAATCGCGGATTCGCCGCGCGGCAGTTTCGAGTCTTTCGTTTCCGGTCGCCGCTTCCGGCGTTCGGAGCGGACAGACGCGCGGCGGCTTCCTCGGGCCGGAAGAGAAAGAGGAGAGACCGCGGAGGATGGACCTTCTTTCTTCGTGAGTTAGAAACGAATTCCATCCCGGGTACACAACGGCGAGCACTCGGAAATTTAATCCTTTTTGGTAAAAGCCCCCGCGGTTCCGCCGCGACGAAAAGTGAACGGCGGGACGAGTCGGAGACGTCGGGACGCCGAGCGTCGTCATCGCGACGCGACGCGGTGACGCGCACAAGACGGTCTCCGACTCATCCGCGGGCGGCTCACGTAATCCCCATCCCCGGCGCGCTATTTCCAACCGGGCCGGGATAATCGTACGACCGTGCCCGCCGCCGGCTTCCTTTTACAACGCCGGCGGAGGCGGCCTCAGGTCGCGACGTCGAACGACCGAGCGAGCGGCAGAATTAAAAGAGAAAGAGAGAGAGGAGAGAAGGAAACGCGACGCGGGGGAGAAATAATGAGACGCGAAGGGCGACGCGTCTCTCTCGCGCCGCGCCGGATGCATCCCGGCGTCGGAAATGGACCGAAATTCGCTCCGCCTCCGGGCGACCGGATCGCGCGATCCGAGGGACCCGAGGCGGCGGGCCTCTTGCATCGATCCCGACCGAAATTGCGTAAGGAGAAGCAATTTCCCGTTCGCGAGCGTTTCCCGTCGCTTTTCATTAAAACGGCCCGTCGGGCATTTGGCGCGCGTGCACGCACGAACACACGTACACACGTGCGCGCACGTAATTGCATTTCGCCGCGCTCGGCCCGCGAAACCGCGCTAGGGCGACTTTTATAGCGCGATCTCGCGACTTGAAATGCTTCCAAAAACGCGTCGCCCCCTCTTCCCTCTCTTAGGGCCGGTTGTTCCGATCTTTTGGTAGGTTAACTCATAGTTAAGTCATATCGACTGGTCTCCTCCGCAAGGTTGTATCTCGATTTTACACAATTTCCGGTTCTTTTCCGTTTAACCTCTGTCTGGTCCTAAATGAGTATCTATGCAGGAAAATCGAGACACGATCTTGCGAAAGAGATCAGTCGACGTATAGAGAAAAGTCCTCTATTATAAGATTGTAGGTTTTCAACGTCCAAGTTCAATCACAAATCTTTTTCGGCAACGATTACACGATCTAACGTTCAATTTTCCACTAAATAGATTCCACTCCAAGGACAATAAATTCACGGTGGGACCAACAGATGACGCCTATTAATTTAGCAAAAACCCCGCTATCTCATATTGGGAGCTTATCCCATAATAGGGGGCTGTCCTCTATGTCTTTGTTTTTCAAATTACACGAGGATAGACATATAATTGAACTATTATAGCGAATTCGGTTGCTTATACTAGTGCGCACTAAGACCGTCTTGAATTTATCTAAAGATGCTGTATGGAACATTCCACTGGCTATGGAGTATCTAAAAATGATCTTAAGTCGGTCCTGAATGTAAGATCTGACTATGAATACCGACTTAAATGTACACTAAGGCTTGTTTATAGTTAGTTCTTATATTTAACTTCGTCTTATATTTAACTTTGTCTTAAATACAGGTTCAAAGAGTATTTAGTTAAAAAAAAAAAGATCGGTGTAAACGTTGTACAGACCATTTTACTGAATAAGAAATATTGCAAGAGGTATTTAAGATGATCTTTAAATATAGAAATTGACTGTAAACGAGGCTTAGTGTGCGCACTAATGCAACCAACCGAATTCGCTATTAGTCAGTTTATACCAAGAGGTTGGTAAAGCCGGCCCTTACTCGCGTAAAAAAACCGAGAAATCGGCTTCGAACCGATTCTCAAGGTGCTCGGCGGAAAATAATCAGTCGTCGGATCGGTCGCGGGGGATCGATATCGTGACGGCAGCCTTGCACCGTAATAATAATGGCAGCAGATAACGATCGCGCGCACCGGACGCCGGGCGTGGAAAGTGCGATTTGTCACGTTGCACGTGAAAAAATATAGGAGGACCGGGAGCACCGCTCCTAATTTCGCGTACCGGGGGACCTCTAAAATAGGTCTCATCCGACTCATTCTTTCGGCGCAGTCGACAATTACACGGGCATCGCTTATTTGCGTAATCCGAGTCGTCGCGCGCCGCAGCCCCCGCGGAAAAATATACATTTCAAAAAGTAGGTGAAAATATATGGTAATATATTTCATACGTTTGGGGTAGATAAAAATTCTATTTAAAAAATCGTATATAAGTAATATTATATACGTCAAAAATGTACTAAAAATGTATGTGAAATATATGAACAATATTTAAATATTTTTAAATTTCGCAATAACGCTCTTCGCTGCCGCGAGGCGGCGATCGCACGTTACACTTTCTCGTGTTTAAAAATCAATCAACAGCAGTTTGTAAGAGGTGGCGAGAAATCAGATCTAACAGCTGTGGCAAATGAAATCAATTTGATCTCCGCTGGTAGCGCGTTGAGAACCTAAATTCTAAGATACTTAGAACACCTAATGTAATATTCCTTTTTATATTTTTAATACCTACATATGAATAATATATGAAAAATTCCAATTTATTGGTATTACATTTATAGTAGTAGTATATTTCTTATAACGCATATACGAGTAATATAAAACGAATGTATCCTTTCTACTCTTCTTTATATATAATGAAATATATATTTTTCCGTGGGGGAGATGACCTTATTTCAGATGGAAATGTTTGCCACGTCGTTTATTCTTAATTAATGTATATCCACACGGAGAGAATTTTTTTTCCTCGAGATCTAGCCTGAAAATTATGCAATCGTGGGACAGCATGGCATTTCGAAGACCTTTACGAGAGGCTCTTGAAACTTCACCATACATTTAAACTAGTAGAATTTCCAAAAACTCTCGTAAAAGTCTCCGAAATGCCAAAATGCTGTCGCACGATTACACGATTTTCAGGGTAAATGTTAAGAGAAAATTCTCTCCCTGTGCAGCCGCGAAAAGATCCAATTCATGGTTTGCGCGCGTTCTCCACGCGGCCGACTGGAAGGCCTCGCGGATTCGGTCACCCGATGACGCGTCCTACCTTTCTCCGTCACGCGTGCCCGCTCGCGCACAATGCTATAAATATATATGGAATCTACGATCGCGCGAAGCTCGCCCGGGGTCAATTCTCGTCCGTTGGAACGTCGCGACGACGGCACCTCGCGCCGGAGGGAGAGGAACGGTCGTCGCCGGCGTTGTTTCAGCGCCGAGTGACCGACGGCCAGCGGGAACGGCGGGATACCCGTCATTAATGCGCCTGCAGAGCGCGGCGACGCGGCGGGGACGCGGAGGTCGCGAAATGATGTCACCGCTTACGCACGTTCATCGAATTAGACCCCGCGCGATTTTATTATCCGCTCAGACGGCTCTTAGCTAAACGAGTTTAATCGCTTTTGCATGAGCCGCCCTCATTATTCACCCGCGGTACCGGGCCGTCACGTAACGTTAATCCCGTTCGGGGCGCGACGCCGTTCCTTTTTATTAACTGCGCCCGCCGTCGTCGCCGCCGGGTAAGATGAGAAATGTCCCGTCAAACGTCAGATCCGTAAGACCGCCGGAAATTCGAACGCCCGCCGAAGCTCGGAAGTACACATCTCGCGAATATTAATGCGAGGATGAAGCGTATTAAAGAAACTACGAGGGAAGCGCGCCCGGATTTCGCGTCTCCCGCGTCTCGTTCTCATCGTCAAATCCAATTCGTCGTTCGGCTTCCCTTTGCGATTAAAAGTTGCAAAATGCCAAGTTCACGTTGCTCAAAGACGTGGACGTAGCTGGCGAAGGACTTCCGGCAGTTTTTCGCGGCAGAAGTTCTGCCAAATTGACCTCGCGACAATAATTGACGAGATGAGTAATAGTCGCCTATTGAAAAGAATGATTTCATAACACACGCACACAATTTAACTTGGAGAACATATCCTTGATGTGCCTCGCGATAATTTGCTAAAGAGAATTCATCTCGAGATAAAGAGACTTGAGAGAAATAACGAGTTTCGGGAACCAGATTCCGGTTATAGTCGATTATTCGATCGCCGAAAAATGTTACTCCCGTCTGCCAGTGGCGACAGCTGCGTTCGGTATTGCAAATCTAAAGTGTCGGACTGCTCTTCCTCTCTTTCTATTTCATTCTCCTCTCTCGCTCACTCTCTGTCGGCCCCTTTGATTTTTTCGGTCCCGATCACGTGGTACTCCACCATTGCTTTGGTCAGCAATTCAACGGTGTGTGTGTGTGTGTGTGTGTTTTATAAAAGCTACACTACTACACACTGATTTCACACTACCGTACATACAACTTGTCTCTCATTGGCTTGACCAAATCAATGTCGGATGCACAGAAGGGATCGACGCGAAACGAAACAAATGACAGAGTGAACATACTAGTTAGGCTGATGACAGAGAACAATCCGTAAACGCTTAGAACTGCCTTATTGTCAGTCGTAGACGTAAGACAAGGCAGAGAAAAACTTAAGTCGTGC